TATAAATGAACCCGGTATTTATTTATTTATTAACGGAAAAGGGAGTAGAACCAACAGCAGGTTATCCTACACTGGTATGTGGATTCCTAGAAGCTTCGGCTTTTAGACTTGCCTAACTCGTAACTATTTCATTGCAGGTTGCTGTCTTTGAATGATGACGTCATAGCGATAATCGGTCTACCAGGGGAATTGTTCATGAACATGCTTCGGGCGATGATCCTTCCTCTCATTGTTGCCAGTCTTGTTTCAGGTTGGTTGTTGGAATCGATACATTTCTGGTCCAAATTTCGGAAAGGACAAGCTCCCGTTGTAAAGGTGTTGACCTAAATCAGGTCATCTGACCTTTCTTGTGGGATTCCTAGACCTTGACATACACACACTGACACAGTTTTTACACAACTGCTATAGCTTCTTGAATTTTTCTGCCCTAAAAACATCGCGTGTTAATCGATCTTCTTAACAGGGCGGCACATCATCGCCGGGGATTCCCCAAAAGGTGGACCGTATTTGGTCGCTGGGAAAGGGGTCGTATTTTGATCTGATAAGTTTTTTGATAGTTGGTTTTTGCTTACCCCGTACGGCAGTTCCATCGTACCAGAGGAAGGAACTAGGAGAGGATTGTATTTTCCGAAAATTTTCCTCAGCTTCAAGACGTGCCCTGAAAAAAACAGCAAACCGACCGTAGAAAGGGGAGGGCTTCGTATCAAGTAATCCCCTAAAGGGGTCCCACGAACTCGACTAAATTCCCCCAACTCATTATGTGCTTTCCAGAACGGGTCCTACATTTTGCTTTACATCGGGTTCACAAAAATCTTGTGGCGTAATGATAGAGTAACTCACGTAATACAGTAACCCTTGAACAGGGTAACAATACAGTCGCTTCCATTTCTACTCGATGCTCACATCTGGAATTTCTCACTACCATACAAAGCCGGTATCGATGAACCGAGTCCAGAAGCTTATGATTATGATTCATTAGTTGAAGGCAGTTCTTGATGTTCCCACGCTTTCTTTGGATATGGTAGCCCTTCTTACAAGGATGGAGGATCTACTAGTTCTCCAGCTGAAAAATATGGGTGAAAGCGCCGCCCGTTCGTGAAGGAACTGCTGCTTCACCCACTGACAACTGACAAAACGCCCAACTTCATTTCTGATGGGATTCTGGAGGTTGCGGTTGTTCCGCTACAGACTCTTTTCATTTCGAGTGGTGAGAGAGGGGCGGCAAGGAAAAGAACTGGCACCAAAACAGTGTGAAGTTTGGTAGTGCGAACTCGTCCGACCACGCCCTTTCTTCACATTACATAACGTACAACCTCAATTCGTCATGAGGTTGTACGTGCATAAGATGAAAATGGGGCATTTCCCAGGTTCTTCTCTACCACTTTCTTCACAATTGACTTGCTTTCTTGCTATTATCATCTGAGCATAACTGATCACTTCCCAATCCTGCTCTGCCTTTGTGGGTTTCAAAGGGATACAGAACATGAACGCGGTTGTTATATAACAACGACAGAGTGACCTGAGACCAAAGATTAACGGTGAAATGATTCATAATAATAAAAAGAGTCAAAAGGAGGGATGGCAGCGGGGAGGTGGTAGAGCGCAGTGATTTGCAGTGGCCCGGAAGCACTGCAAATCGCGAGAGTATTACAAGGATCATGTAAAGTCACTGATTGCCAAACTAAGTATGAGGGCGCTGGGTGAAAGGATGCAATCTTCAGGTGGGGAGGTAGAAGGGTTGGTTGGTCTGGGAAGGCGATCCGGAAATGGACGCCTGCACCGCGCGAGATAAGCGTGCCAGTTTGCCACTGCACTATCTCCGCCTTACGCTGAGTTGAATGGAAGCTCGGTTGACTCTGTGAGGACTAATTGTCACGGATGCAACGCGAAGAGACACACCCTTCTGCGTCAGCCCAGCCCAAAACCGTGTTATCTACCACAATATGAAGTAAAGTAGGTTTTGGTATTCGATGCCCATTCGGAGAGCACCATTCTGCTTCAGTTAGGAGCCACCACGCACGAAAATAGGCCCACGTGACGCTCAGATTTCCCTCTTTCCATCAACCGTAGAATGCTAGATAGCCTACAAAATGTCGAGTATTTTTGTTAGTGTACTCTGTTGACGGTCTTTTGATAAAATACAATACAACATTTTAGGAGTATCAATGCTTGATGGTCGAACCGCTGGAAAACTAAGCACCAGGTCGTTCATTTACTATGGGGGAGCAACTCTACACGCAGTGCTTGTAGGCATTTTCTTCATCTAAATAAGATTTAAAAACATAACGAAAGTTCCCTTCGCA